GTTGACGGCAACATGCGAGGCAAGTAGAAGAATCTGGGACCTAAGGCACATAGTCGATGCAACATTTTGGTGGAGTACCACCAAACTGAAATTATTCACATTTTATTGGAGTTTCTCGCGACACAACTGCACGCATAAACAAACAACACAAAGCTAGCTTCACTAGACCGTCTTGGCTTATACATAACGATATAAATCTTCGAACGGCTTTTCATTATCCCACTATCTTCATAACAATGATAAGCAATCAATGAAAGTCATTTGATAACTGAAGATCACAACGAACATGTCTACAACCGAAAATTCATCTGTGCACCTATCTGTCTCTTTATGTCGTTGAGCGTAAGACGTCTTCAATTTTCAACTACTCCCCTCAACACTCCTCTATTGCTCGTTTATTTCACGCTAGCAGACATTGAAAAGATATGCGTAGACATTGCAGATTTTTTTACACCTTAAGTACGACTGCGAACCTTCAATTGTGAACAATACATTGCCGATGGAGTATCACGATGAAAGTTCAAAATTTAAATGATCGCACATCACATTCAGCTCAAAATATTCCTCTCGTTTTCACTCTGCTCGTTCACACCAATGTTTCCAACAACACGAACGAATTAATTTCGCGATGACACAACATTTGAAAACGAATGAAAACACTAACATGAACCTGTTTGAAGTTTAAATTTAAAGTTTAAATAAATCGTTTAAAGTAACAATGCTACTGATGTTCCTTATCACCCCAAGACATCATCCATAATTCAAAAATGGTCTTATCAATTTTGAATATTACAGCACCGCATTGATATGAACGACGCATCAGTCCCGGTTTCTATTCCGTTCCCTCGCACGATCGAAATCAAAGCATATAAGTGGATGTGCACGCGATACAGTGCTGGCACAGCGGTAATGGGGACATTCATTGATGAATATATATTAACTTAAAACATTCTTATAGCGAATTACTTCATCAGTATATGAATAAACAAATTGACGAAAATGAAAATGTTTATTGAAATCGTTTAAACGATGCCAACAGTCGCGTTGTGAAAACTATTTCCATTACGAAAATCAATGATGAAAATAACCATATCGAGTTCCGAGATAAATGCACAAGGAATTATTTCTAGTGCTCAGAAGTGGATTGGAATGAATGAGGTAGTGCTAAAATGTGGAATGAACTGCATGTTTATAGGTGTTTCACATAAACAAGCCACCGGTCACTTCAATTGTAGCACCGGTTATGTACGATGACCAGTCGGAGGCAAGGAAAACGACTACATCAGCAATCTCGTTTGGTCTGCCTTCGCGACCCATCGGGATTTGTTTGCTGATTGCGGAGCGGACCTGAGAAGGAGTTGACGTTAGGAAGTGTAATGATATTATCATATTTGCATTGATAAGTGGGAAATAAGTGAATAATGATCTCGTTATTTCAAATTCTTAAGTTTTTGACGGACTAGCGAGTTTCAGATTAATCAGTTCCTGCTGCTCATAAAGCGGTTTGAACGTTTCAGTAATTTTGTTCTCTTTTGAAAGCGATCAGAGATCACACAGAAAATTCAGATGTTTTATAATCAATGCACGGAATCTTTTTTTTGTTGCAAAAAAGGACGACCTTTTCTGGCATCGAGTTTGTCATTTGAGAAGTTATGAAGCCAGGTAGAACAGCGTTCAAGCGCACTCCTTTCAGTGCCAGTTCTTTGGCAGCCGATTTTGTGAAAGCGATCACACCAGCCTCAATACGATCAGACGTTTTCGATAATTCTGATGTTTTATAGCATGAAATGAAATCAGATTGTGGATGAATTGACTGGCGATGTTTTTATTCGGATCAAAGTGAAAATAACGATAACATGAAAACTCGTCTGACTTCAAGCATGCAGAATTTAATATTAAAATCATCATCGTAAAGAAATACTTTTGAAGCCGCATAATTTGCTTGACCAATATTTCCCGTTTTTGCAACTATTGATGAGAGATTGATAACGGACTGTGGTGTTCCATTTTCAACAGCCAATTTTGTGAACGATTGTGTTATCTGCAGATGAAATCATAGTAAACTTGCAGTGAGCAATAATACATGAATGTTCTTTCAAAATCGCTTCCATATTTTCCAATGTGGACGGTTGCTTCATAAAGAAAGCATTCACCCAGAAAATGAGAGATAAAAACGATATCTTCTAGATCAGTGGTCC